ATCGGATCGGATCGGGTCGGGTCGGGTTGGGTCGGGCCGGGCCGATCACTTGATACGGAGTGCCAACTACGGATAGGATTGGCCGACCGGGTCCGATTGCCCGACTCGGTTGCCTCAAATACAAACGTGTTTGTTTGTTTTCAGTTCCAGGAGAAGTAGAAGTAGAGCGGTCGACCAGATCCAGTCGTAGTGGGCACCCCATACGCGTTTGTTTTTGAGGCGACGAGTCAGGTGCCATCGGCTTGTGCCACGGTACCCGCTTTTCGCCCTCAGTCTGGCTAGCCAACCGACCCGATCTGACACGATCCCCCTATGGGCTCCTCGTATTAGACGCACAACGCAGTGAGTGATCTTTAGAACGGTTTCAGACTCAAATTTGAAGTCTCGTAGTAATATTGAAGATGGATTAATTTTACTTTATTTTCTACTCTCTATATATTTGTCTATGAAAGGAAATTGTTAATTCCTCCCAGCCTGACTCTGCCCAGTGCAATGTTTGACCCTTGATAAGAGATATGTGCACAACCTGTACTCTTTCATTATGGAAATTTTATTTAACAGAAGAGCATTTTATATAACGTGATGCGGGCCAATGGCCTTAAACACTGAATAAATTGACAAATTTGAAAACAAAGTCAGCAGAATTTTAATTACCGAATCAAAACAGGTTCTTTGCGAGAAACTCCGCTTAATTTAACATTTTAAATTTCGAAATGAAATCAATTTTTCAGCTAGATCTACCATAATTATTAATTTTTTACAAATCTGCATGCAGTTTTTGATCCTGCGCAGTAGTTAACTTCAAAGAGATTCTGCTACCACTTATCGATGCATTTTACCGTGGCTTTCAGCGTAATAATTTGTTTCAAATTGCAAATGCTGAGGGGAAAATATTGAGTCTATTTTAATATGTAAGCTGAAAACAGGTTTTAAAAACATTGAGTAACTAAATCATGATCAATACCATTGAATATCGATACCATGACCAATACCATTGAGTATCGATACTATTATCAATACCATCAAAGATCGTACATAACACGATAGTTCACTCAGCCAAAAAAATGTCCGCGAAAGTCTGCGCATAGTTTCAGATGGCGCTGCAGTCTTTGTTTTGAAGCTCTCTTTCGTTTCTTCAGAAGAAGAATAGGAATAGCACAGTTTGTTAGTTTCGCCTTTATTGTTTTTCACACGAGTTGGGTAGCTCTGTTCGCAAAGTCCGCATTTTTTCGAAGAGGGCGCCACTGGATTTTTAGTACACTTTTTTTAATTGGCTCAAAGAGAGGAGTGAACCATCTTGTTATACACGGACTTTGATACAAATGTGTGGCGTGCTGACAAAATGAGTCACTTCTCTGAGTCCACATATGATATATTTGCGATTGTGCGATTGAAGGAGGTCAGGGTCGCCTAGTTTTCGAAGTAGAATTAGCGAGAAAGTGGCCTAAGAGACCTTGGAGACTGACAATTTACTTTTTTGTGTGACTTTAATCAATGTTTTTCAGTAAAATCCACACACAATTTTTTTTATAAATAGATATAAAATGTGTTGAGCCAAAAAAATAAAATTAGATCAAAAATGCCCATCCACACAACGCCGGCCCCCAAAAAAGAGATTTCTTTGATATATCATTTTGAAGAGTGCCTGATTTTACCACAATTCCTCACGCTCACAAATGTATTTCCCAGACTGTGCTGTTTACGACTGACATGACATTATAGATGCACGGACCACAGCGCACAATCGATGCACGGTTCTTTGTAGAGAGGGAATCCCGTCTGCCTCCGATCACGGCATACAATGAAACGATCACTACATATTATAAAAAAACCCGGAACAGTTTAATAAAGGAATGGGAGTTTATTGTACAGGGTGCGTGCAATTTCACGTGCTGGCTAGCTGGATGGATGGATGGGTGGATGGATGGATGGGTGGATCGATAAATGGGTGAGTACGTGGGTGGATGGGTGGGTGGATGGATGGATTGATGGATGATGCGTGGGTTGGTGGGTGGATGGATGGATGGATGGGTGGATGGATGGATGGATGGATGGGTGGGTGGGTGGGTGGAT